TGCAATTCTGCCATCTAGCGGTATGAGGCGGATATTGCACCGCCAGCGATCTTGACCAACACATTCTACCTTAGAGCCCTAGCAACCAAAGAGGTTTTAGAGGATGCCAACCAAACACGGGATGGCACTATGCCCAGGACTGCTCTCAGGTGATTACACTCCACTAGAAGTCTCTACGGTCTCCTCTAGCTCTGATATCTTCGGCTCCAATTTGGCAACAGTGTTAAGGAGACTAAACTGTGGCCATGGATAATTAGCACAGAGACCTCTGCCAGTGGAGAAAGCTGGGGGCAGAGGTGGGAGTCGGGGGCAGCCTGACTTGCGTCTTGAAGGGTGGGAATCATTTGGACAGAAAAAAGAGCACACATCGGGAGGAAGGAATGAGATGGATCAAGAGGTCGTGGGGGCTGGGAAGGAGAGGAGGAAGAAGCAGAGTAAGGGAGCTAACAGAGGGGAAAGAGGTCAGCCGGCTACAGTGAGTCCTAGCAGAGTAGGGCCAAATAAAGGAAGGCCTTAGAAATTAACAGAAAGGTTCGGGAATGACCTCTTAGGGAGGCTTTTAAGTCCTAATTGAGGAAGCAATTTGATAAAAATGGCATTCTAGGAATAAGATTTTACCATGCTACAGCCTTCAACCGGAGGGGGGAAATTAAGAGTCAAGTTTGTTGTTGTTATTCTTTCTATGTCATGTTTTAAATTTTTTAAATGGGGATATTAACTCTTACCTCCTAGGCTGCTATGAGAAAATGTGATGTGAAGTGCTTAGCTCAGAGCCTGGCACATAGTAGGTGTTCACTAATTTGATAATGCTCATTATTATCATCTCTCTGAAATTTGCCTTTGACATCAGCCGGTCCCGTTTCATAATCACCTTAGCCCTAGTGATTAGTCGCCTTACCCATTGTCTCTCCAAGGGGGGCAGGACAGGTTCCCCGCATGCTCAGGCATTCAGGAGGCACACACTGACCTTTAGATGGGAGGTAAGGAAGGGGCAGGGCAGGGAGAGTGTAAGCAGGAGCTTTCCCTACATCTCCTCCCTGTTCCCTGCCTTGGTTCATCCCCTTTCAATGAGGCTACTCATCCTCTCTGACCTGGGGCAGGAAGCTTCCTCTGCAGCACCTGTCCACAGGTCTTGGGGTGGTGAGGACGCTGAACCAGGATCTGTGCTTACTGTTCCAATCTCCAGGAGACAGGAAGCCTGGCCTGTGGGCACATTCAGTCATCTTTCTTCCACAAGACAGCTGTCCCATGTCCCAGCACTTGACATCACATCAGGAAGGTGCCATTGTTAGCTTCAGGCTGCAGCCCTCCTTCCATCTGCTCAGGATCTGGGATCCCCCTTCCTCTCTTCCCCCCAACCCTCATTTGACCTCTTGAGGTGCCACCCTCTTGGGTCCACAGTCAGCCACCCCTCAGGGTGGTGGAAGGGACCTCAGTGGGCTCAGTCCTATTCCTATAGATTATAGGATCTGCTAACGGACTGCATTGTGTCCCTCACCCCCAAATTCATTATGTTAAAGCTCCAGTGTGAAGGCATTTGGAGGTGGGACCTTTGATAATTATATTTTGGCAAAGTCATGATTGTGGATCCCTCATGATGGGATTAGCCTCTCTCTCTGTCTTTTTCTCCCCACTCTTTCTCCTATGAGGACACAGCAAGAAGACAGGAAGACAGTTCTCACCAGAATCCAATCATGCTGGTACCCTGATCTCAGACTTCCAGCCTCCAGAATGGTGAGAAATAAATGTCTAATGTTTAAGCCACCCTGTCTATGGTATTTTGTCATAGCAACCCGAAAAGACTAAGACATGGCCCGAGTCCTGGTTTGAAATACTGGAAGTTCATCCAGTCAAAGAAAAACTTGGTAATAGGTCACCTTTTACCCATACTTCTTCCCCGGAGGGGCAAGTACTGAGCCTGACTGACGTGGGCCCAGCAGTAGGGAGGCACGGGAGGGAAGGAGTTTCTTCTGTCTTCAGATGAACAAGCCCAACACCATAGAGGTTGTGCTGGTTCCTGAGGAGGCTCACCAAGTAGGAAATGCTTCCAGAACTATTCCTAGAAATGGGAGCTGAGCCAGAGAGGCCATCTTGGACCATGAGCGGAGGTCACACGCTGCAAGGCCATAAGATAAAAGGAGTCTGGGGTCCTGAGCACTTTGTGCAGAATGGCTGTCATGGGGACACCTGGGTGGCTCAGATGGTTAAGCGGCTGCCTTCAGCTCAGGTCATGATCCCAGGGTCCTGGGATTGAGCCCCACATCGGGCTCCCGGCTCAGCAGGGAACCTGCTTCTCCCTCTCCCTCTGCCTCTCCCCCTGCTCATGCTCTCATTCTCTGTATCTCTGTGTCTCAAATGAATAAATAAAAAATCTTAAAAAAAAAAAAAAAAGAATGGCTGTCATAGGAGCCCTGGACTGCCAGCCTCTGAACCTCAATGGGAGGGAAAGATGCACTTTCGTTTCCTTTAAGCCACTGTCTTTTGGTCTTCGTAACTCACAGCCAAATAGAACGATAACTGATACTGGTTTCAGAAAAGGTTGGCTGTTATCTGTCACATGATTACAACTATTTAATGTCCATCTTCCCACTGGATTGTAAGCTTCATGATGACAGGGACCATGGCTGTCTGGCGCAGTAAATCCCCAAGGCCCGAGCCAGGCCATACACACAGCGGGCACTCAGTAAGTGTCTGTTGAATGAGTTGGTAAACCCGGTTCATGACGTTCCTCTCCCCAGGCCTGAGCACCAGCCCTGGGTCTCACTTAAAGCCCATCTCCTGAGGAAAATCTTCCCTGTCACACCTCATTTCCTCCTGGTTCCTCTTCATGCAGGTTCCTGGGAACTCATCCTTTGTGGAGTTACAAAGTTATGCTATTTGACAATCATTCTCTGCTTAGTCCTTAGATGCTTATGTCGCTGCTTAACTAGACCATAAGCTACTTGGGCAGGCAAAACACTCTCAGTTTTTTAATCACTGGGAGCCTTAACCCCAATTCCTCATAAATGCGTATAGTGGACAATAAACACTTCATGAAGAAAGGGAGGGAGGGAGGAAAACCTAACAAGGCCCTGACACTGAGGAAGAATATTAGATTTCAAGTTGGGGAGACTGATTTTCAAAAAGGAGAAATAAGTAAGGTCAAAAAAGAGCAGTCGGACTCCCAAGAGCTTAACTTGGGAAAAAATTTCAAAGGCAGTTTGGTGTGTTGAAAATGGGAAAAATATGGGATTCTGGGGTTCCTTTAGCTGTGATCTCGGATAAGTCACTTCACCTCTAACAATCCATTTCTTTATTTTGACAATCAGGTCTGGCTCGATCAGGGGTCTCCTTGTTGTGTTCCAAGGAACACAAGTTAGAGACTCCAAGAAGCTGGAGTCCAGCCCACCGCCTCATCTAGAACTCCATTCTCTTTGGCTCCCCTGTAGGATTTAATTTGAGCAAAAGGCTTTGGAGCTAAAGCAGTTTAGAAACCACTCAAGGCAATGACCCCTCTCCACAACTACATAAAGATCTCTGGTTTTATGATTCAACCAGTTTATTCTCAAAGCTGGAGCCCTCTTCAAAGAAGAAAGGCTATACACAGGCCTTGGTCTCATCTTCCCAGCCAGACTGTAAATTCTGAGAAGGGTGAATTTGGGTTTGTGGTTCTCAGCCTCCCACGACAAGCTTCCCATCTGGGCTCATGGAATTTCAACAATGGGTAGATATATAGAAGTTCCACAAAGTTCTGTGGCTAGACGCTCCAAAGGGGCAGCAAAAAGGCTATGAGAAGGAGAATCTGATCCACTCTGTGGAGTTCTCAAGGATATAGGGACCCCCATATAGGGGTAACTGGGCCCCTGAGCTCCAACATAAGTGTTTCTGCTCATGGGTGTGTGTCTTCAACTTCACATTTCTGGGGCGCCTGGGTGGCTCAGTCAGTTAAGTGTCTGCCTTCGGCTCAGATCATGATCCCGGAGTCCTGGGATGGAGCCTGCTTTTCTCTCTGCCCTTCCTCCCTGTTCATGCTCTCTCTCTCTTTCTCAAATAAATAAAATCTTAAAAAACAAAAAACCGTCACCACACTTCTATCACCTTCTTCCCAATCCTGGTTTTCTCATCTCTTTCCTTTTCCCACTTGGCCCTCCCTGCTCCCCTGTCCTCCCAGGCTGAGGTCTGTGCTCCCTCTGACCCTGACACTTTCTAGAGCCCTGAGTTAGAGTCCTGGGTATGGACCCGGGGGTTTGAGCAGCAAGTCAGTGAGATGTCCAGGACAAGCAGGGCTGAATCAGGCACCGGGGGCTTTGTACTCAGGGAAAGAGGCACCTAAAGGGGCCCACATCAAGAAACAAGGACCATAAACAGAATGTGGTATCTACCTACAGTGGAATACTACTCACGATTTAAAAACAAGAAGATTGTGACTCATGCTACAACACGGATGAACCTTGAGGACATTATACTAAGTGAAATAAGCCAGACTGAAAAAGACAAATACTGTATGATTCCACTTATATGAGGTATCTTGAGGAGTCAAATTCATAAAGACAGAAAGCAGAATGTTGCCAGGGGCTGGGGAGTTAGTATTTAATGGATATACAGGTTCAGTTTTGTAAGATGAAAAGGTTCTGGAGATGGGTTGCACAACAACGTGAATATACTTAACACTATAGACCTGTACCCTAAAAATGGCTAAGATGAAAATTTTATATGTATTTTGACACAATTTTTACAAAAAAAAATAAGAAGAACCATTTGGGGGGTCCCTGGCAGCCCCAGTGCTCCTATACCCCCTTTCTGTTCACCACCTGGAGGTGACACAAGGTGGGGGAGTGAGCCTTGGAAGGAAACAAAACTCCGAATTACAGCTCCACCAACTGCAGCCCCCAACCCCCCAGAGCTCTCTGCTCATGGGTCTGACCTTAATGTTTCCAGATCCCTGGGCTTCGGCCCTTGTCTCTGAGCTCCCAGATACTACTCTTTTCTCCGAGGAATATGCGTGAAACCTCATATCTCATACACACACACACACACACACACGGAATCAGAGAATCTGGCCCAGGCTTGCCAGAACCGTTTAATTTACAGGGCGGGCTACTGGCCCGGGGTGTCCTCAGGGCTGTGATGCAGTGGCAGGTCCAGGACCCCAGCTCCCCAGCTCCAGCTCAGTCACTCTGGGCCTCTGGCTTAACTCGCCCCAGAAAGCTTATGGCCCAGGGCCAGGCACCTGAAAGAAAGTGCTAGATGTGTCCCAGCCCCTTATCACAAACCCCACACCCCAATTGGGATGGCCCTCGGCCAGGGGAGCCCAGGGAAGGGAGCAAATAGGAACAGAGTCAAGGGCACAGGCCTGGGCACTCTTCCACTGAAGGACCTGGCTTTTGCACATGCAGGAGCCCATATAGGAGGCCCCAGGCTGGAGGGAATGGTCTCGCCTTGAGAGACCCTAATAGAGAGGCTGTCAGGTGGGACTGATGAGGGTCAAGACAGGGTGCAAAGAGCAGGGAGAGCTCAAGGCCAGGCTGGAAGGGACCGAGGGCAGGAGGCAGGAGCACAGAGAGTGCAGGGAATGGTGGGCAGGCCAGGCTGCTCTCCCATCAGGAACCCCTCTGCTCTCCCACTACAGGGTCAGATTTGGGACAGAAAAGCTCTAGGGCATGTGGTGGTGTTTGGGAGCCCCTGGCAGACCCCAGAAGGGACCAGGAGGGAGGCTGCACTCACCCTGAGGGGTCTGCTTCACCCAGACATGATGTGTTTGACAAAGGCTGGGAAGGGAGAGAGAAATCAGTCACCGCACTTGGCCCCTCTCAGCCCGACTTCCAACCTTCCCACCACCCTTTCTCTAGACTGATTCTTTCTCTTATTTGGGGTTGTTGGGGAGAAGCTGGAAGAAGAGACCTAACCTCTGCTGTGTATTCTAAGCTGACATCTGGACATAGATGAAATGAGCTATGTTGTCTCTGCTAATCCCCACAACCTTAAGAATGGTGCCAGCATCACCCTATTGCTCAGATGAGAAAATTGAGGCTCAGAGAAGGTAAGTGACTTGATCTAGGTCACACAGCCAGTCTATCTCCAAAACCCATGCTCTTTCCATTATACTATGCTGTTCACTCCAAGGATGGAAAAGAACATCCACTGGGAGCTCACCAACACCCATCTAGCCTCTAATTCCTGGATCTGTTCTGTTCTGCAGACCTGCCCAGCCCAAACTGTGCCCGCTGTCCCTGGGTGCCCGAGGAAGTGAGGCACGACCTGATACCTTCGTAATTGATGCACCCGTTGGCATCCTCTTGCCCAGCCAAAAGCTGCTCCACCTCGGCCTCAGTCATCTTCTCTCCTGGGGTGGGGGCAGTAGGTTCTGAATTACACATGGCAAAGGAGGGACAGGCCAAACCCAAGCACCCCCTCGAGTCTCAAGGCCCAAGGCTCCCCAGATCTGGGAAGTGGACATCCAAGCTTTGGAGGGGGAGACAAGGGTCTTAGGTCTTTCCTACTCCCCAAGGCCTCTCCCTCTGCCCTACAGCCAGCACTGGGGGAGCAGACCAGGGCCCCCCTGATTGAGGCAATGACAAGGATGGGATCCCTGGGTCCTACATCTCAGGCTTCAGCCCTCCTCTGCCGACCTGCTCTCCCTCCTCCCAAGCCCAGCTTGGGGGAAGGTTGTTCCTGCAGAGCCTGGAGAGACAGGGCCTGAATCAGGATGTGATCCTTGGGATGCAGGGACCCCAGTCTACCCCCTACCTATGCCACCTGGGCCCTTCCCACCACTCCCTTCCTCCCCCTTGGGCACCACCAGCCTGCATACCCAGGGTGGCGAGGACATGGCGAAGCTCAGCACCCATGACTGTGCCATTACTCTCCTTGTCGAAAACACGCAGCCCTTCCACAAAGTCCTCATAGGTGCCCTGCTCCTTGTTGCGGGAGATGTGCTGCAGGATGGGCAGGAACGTCTCGAAGTCCAGCATCTTCGCATTCATCTCTTCAGGTGGGAAGGAGAGAGAATGTGATGTGAGTAGAGGCTCAAGGGGAGCGGCGGGTCCGTAGGGGGCTTCGCCCCAGCTCTGCCAGGCCAGGACCAGGGCGGAAGAGAAGAGCCACTATGACTCCACCCAGACCTCTAAACTCCAGTGGCCAGCTAGGTGGGGGGGGGAAGGGGGGCCCAAGGGTGGTCATGGCAGGATTCGAGGGGCCCGAAGGGTCACAGAACAAGGCCTCACAGTCACAGCTTAGACTTTTGACATGTGACAGATACGTCACGGAGGTAAACCGTTAGGATGGCCAAAAGGGAATTTTGCATCATTCCTCCTTTGGGCCTCATCCCTAGACCACATTGCCTGGGGCAACTCTGAATTAATAATTTTTATAAATTTGCAATTCTTTTGTGACGAGCCAGCCCACTTCTCCCACGTTATAGTGTGTTAAAAGCTTTAATTTTTAAATCCCACAGATGTTGGCAATTCTTTCTTCTATAACAACACAGGAACTTCCAAAAATGGAAGCGCCCAGACATCTTTTACCTCTGAGAAGCCCTGCTGGTCCTCTGGCCCTTTCCTGCCCACATCCTTCACCCCACACTGGTATCTTCACCAGCAAGAGGAGGAGGGGAAGGGGCCAGAACCAAGGAAAGGGGAGGGGAGCAATATGGCCCAGGAAGCCTCTAGAGAAGGCCTGCCTGGCTGCTGCCTGTCCCCACCTAGTGCCGACACCTCTCCGAAGGACGTGTATTAGGGCAGCTGTTAACTCTACTACCAAACATGACAGATGACAGTCACAAACGGGACACACTGTCTTACACCACTTTTGAAACTCATTCACCAAAACCTGCTGAATGCAAATGAGTGACAGGGCATCATTACGGAGCTCATATTGAGTCTGCTTTAACTTGAACAAATAATTTGCAATCGTCAGTGCTCTCACCATCATTAGAAACAAAGTCTTCGTGACATTTCAGTGCCGCAACTAAGATACTGGGCGTGGGGGTGCGGGCAGGTGGTTAGTGGTCAGATCCCCACCTCACTTCCCTGCACCCTGGGGTGTCAGAGGAAGACACTGAAGCAAAAGAAGGTTGTTCCTGCTCCCCAAGAGCTTCGACTTCACAGGGAAAACAAGAGCAAGCCCTGGCCACATTCTTCAAGAATCAACTGTCGGAGACTTCCAGATAAATTCTAGCAAGGGGAGAAGGGTAACCTGGGGAAGGGGTCTGGTCTTGAAGGGCTATCGCGGGAGAAGAGAATGAGCCCCAGGGGCCTCGGGGCAGACACCAGGAGGTTGAGCCACAGGCCCACGCTGACCTTCAGGCTTGGGTTTGCCCAGGACGCGCAGCACCTCGGCGTTGGTGGGGTTCTGGCCCAGTGCCCGCAGCACGTCCCCACACTGCCCATAGGTGATCTTCATCTCTCCAGTCGGTGTCCGGTCAAACAATGAGAAAGCCTCTTTGAACTCTGCAGAGAGAAGACCCGACTGCAGCCTCCCTGGGGCCAAGCGAAGACAGTGGCCGGGGGCCCATTAGCCTCCACCCAGGCTGAGAGCAGGTCAATGTGGCTGATAAAACATTTCAGTATTTGCCCTCGGCCATCATTCCAGCCCCTCCCTGGAAGCCCACCCACACCCTCTTCTGACAACCAAAGGGGCATCCTGGAGCCTCTGTGACCTGCTCCAGCACTGGGCCTGGGATCCCTTCTATCAGTTATTGTTGTGTCATCTGAATATCTCCCCTGCGGCGCCGCTCCGGTCCATGCACCCTGCCCTGCTGCAGGGGAGGGGCCTGACTGTCAAAATGGCAGGGAAGTGAAAATAGCATGGCTCAGAGGTTCGGATTCCCAGCTTCTCATCTTGGCTCTGCCGAGTAGCCCAGAACGAGCCCAGCTAGGACTCCTGGGCAAACCCTGGGAATCAAGCTCCACCCTCCCCTCCCTTCCCAGTTAACTGTGAGTGTCAGAGGAGGTGGTGGTGTGTGGAGGCACCCTGCAAAGTGATAAGACCTGCTCAGAAGTCAGCTCGCATTCCGGCCTGTTCCAGGCCAGACAAGCTGACGTGGTAGAGACAGTCGGACCACACCAGCTCTCCCACTGACCTACCACTGGCCTTGAGCAGACTACTCACTTTGGTGGGCCCTCCTTTTTGGGGTTTTTTTTTTAGCTCTAAGTGGGGATATAATGTCCACCAGAGTGAGTTGCTGGGGGGATTATCAGATGTGCCAAGCATGCTGTCTAGCACATGGTAAGGGAATCAACAAAGGGTGGTTACTATTGTTTCCCTAGTTCTGGAGCCAGCTCAGAGCTCTAGGGACCAGACTCCCTGAAGGTACCAGGGCAGGTGTCCAAGGAGCAAGGTCAAATTAAGGCACTCCTGGGCCCTTTGCAAAGAACCTTAATTCCTCATTAATTTGGATTCAACCAGTTCATTACTGGGGATAATTTGGACTGGGAATAGCAAAGAAATGGTTTACTAAACAGATTAACAATATAAACTAAGGAATGTATGAACCACTTAGGAAAAAAGCTGCTTTTAATCCTTACCAAGTAATCTAGAAACACTTATTCCTTAAAGGCTGCCTACGGATTATTTACAAACCATTCTACATATTAAAGCAATTCTGCAAGATGTTTATTTGCAAGTCTTTACTAGGCGTTGTAAGAATTTAAAAGGTACAAAACAACATGTCTTTCAATTACTGAATAATTAAGTTCAAATTCCATTTCCATTGCTTAGTAGCTGTGTGACGTTGGGCAAGTAAATATTTAACCTCTATAAACCTCTTCTCCTCTAGAAATGGCACCTACCTCATAGGGTTCTTAAATTACATTCAAATCAGATACAATAATGCATGTTAAAAATCTTAACAAAATGTCCTGCATAAAGTAAATGCTCAAACAATGCTGCTAGTCTTATCTTACTGCGTTTAATCTTAATTTTACCACTTAACTATGTGATTCTGGCCAGGTCACAACCTCACTGACCTTCATTTCCTCTTTTGTCTAAAGGAAATAACCACTACCTCACAGTTTTGTTAGAAGGATTTAATATTTTTTTTTAACTTTTAAAGCAATTAGCGTGGCTTCTGGCACAAATTCAGTGCTCAATAAATAGGTTAGTTGAATCTGAACTCAGACTTTTTTTATAAAATGATTTTATTTATTTAACAGAGAGAGAGAGCATACACATGGGGGAGGGGCAGGGGGAGAAGCAGGCTCCCTGCTTAGCAGGGAGCCTGATGCAGGGGCTCAATCCCAGGACCTTGGGACCATGATCCCAGCCGAAGGCAGACACCTACCTGACTGAGCCACCCAGGCGCCCCTTAACTCGGACTTTTTGATCTAGTTCATTCAGAAGAGTGAGGTCAGATGTAATAAAAGAAGGAGGCTTCTCATAAAAGAATATAATGATCCTTAACAGGAGGGTGGAACATGAGGGGGAAAGTAGAACTATGACCTATGATTTGATCACTTACAATGGACCGAGCTCTGAGCTAATAATGTTGTCTTAATCTTTCAAAAACCTTATGCTATAATTATCCTCATTTATACACCAATGCACATGTGACTTCTGGTCAACTATCCAGGACACCAAGAAAACAGTGAGGAGGAAGGAGGAGAAGGGAAGGACCTATTGTACCTGCTAACGCTCCAGCCTGCTGCAAAGCCCGGTATACGCATAAACCCCAAACACTCAAGTTTAGGGCTGCTACTAGGTAGAAGAAAAAGCCAGTGTGATCTTGGGGTGCATGAGAGGTGATGTTCATGGGCCCAGAAGAAACCTTTTCTCAATAGTCTATAGCAGTCAGAGCCTTGCTAGAGCTATGAGCAAAGGTGGTAATCCCTTCCTGTAAGAATATGGAAATCTGGGTGCCTGGGTGGCTGAGTTGGTTGAGCGTCCAATCTTGATTTCCACTCAGGTCATGATCTCAGTGTCACGAGATCAAGCCCTGCCTCCCAGCTCCTCGCTCAGCGGGGAGTCTGCTTCTCTCCTTCTCCCTCTCCTTCTCCCCCCCGCCGCCCCACCTCGCGTGTTCTCTCTTTCTCAAATAAATAAATAAATCTTAAAAAAAAAAAAGAATATGGAGCTCTGGAGAGGGACCAGTAAGTAAGTCAAGAGTTAGAAGCTAGTTTCTACAAGGAAAAAAAAAAAGCATTAAAATAAAATGGGGCCATATCACCCAGAGAATATAAAACAAAGACAGGATTTGATAACTATCTTCAAATAGAGGCTATCTAAAGGATGCTGAATAGAGTCATGGAATTCTGAATTGAAAAGAACCATATATTCTTACTTTGCAGATAAGAAAATTAAGGTTCAAAAAAGTGACTTGCCCAAAGTCTCATGGCCAATAGTGGCAGAATTAGGGCCAATACTAAAATCTCCTGATTCCAAATAATATTCTTTCTAGCATAACACAAGAAAAACATCTTCAGCTTCATCAAAGAGCAAATGAAGAGATAGCAGAAGTAAAATTCAAACAGAAACAATTCCGATCCAAAAAAGGGACAACATCTTCAAAGTCAGAGGGATGATAGACTGAAATGAATTAGACCACAGCCCTGAAAATCCTCATGGAGAAAAGAGGCAACCAGCTGTCCCAGTTGGCTTTGACCATGATTCCCATTTGGGAAATGAAAAATTTTTAGTATTAGTTGACTCTCTACTCTTCATGGGTACCACCATGCTTGTATCTACACACAAGTATCTATTTAACTAAAATGCATTTTAATTAACTTTAAGGGGTGCCTGGGTGGCTCAGTTGGTTAAGCGACTGCCTTCAACTCAGGTCATGATCCTGGAGTCCCAGGATGGAGTCCCGCGTCGGGCTCTCTGCTCAGCGGGGAGTCTGCTTCTCCCTCTGACCCTCCCCCCCCCCATGTGCTCTCTCTCAATCTCCCTCTCAGATAAATAAATAAAATCTTTAAAAAAAATAAAATAACTTTAAGTATCTTACACAGCACAGCAAACTATTGACTGAAAGTGAATGTCCACGGGGTATTGCAAAAGCAGAGTCGGATTCAATTCACTAGTTTCAAAATGCATCTGCTAGTTCTCATGCCATATTTGTGGGTAAACTGGCATCACTTTTTGGAAGACAATTTCACAATAACTATTATAGTTTAAAATGTATGTATCCTTTGACCCACTCCTAGGAAGGTCCCCTGGGGAAAGCATGCTGCTGATAGGTCCCAACAGGAAACAAACTAAAGGTCTATCACTATTAGCCTGATTCAATTAAAAGGTACATCCATGTATAAGAATCTATGTAATCCTTTAAAAAAATGAAGTAGAACTGTTAACTATAAAAAGATACCAAGGTATACTGGGGTGCCTGGGTGGCTCAGTTGGTTAAGCATCTGCCTTTGGCTCAGGTCATGATCCCGGAGTCCCGGGATCGAGTCCCGTATCGGGCTCCCTGCGTAGTGGGGAATCTGCTTCTCCCTCTGCCCCTCAACCCACTCGTGCTCTCTCTCTCTCAAATAAATAAAATTTTTAAAAATAAATAAAAGATACCAAGGTATATTAATTTATTATATTTATTATATTATATTATATCTTTTAAAAAACTGGTTATCTTTTGAAGAGGGATCAACATGACAGGAAAGCAAGAGGAAAATATTTTTATTTTTTATTTACTTTTAAGTAGAATATGAGTTTTTGTTTTTGTTTTACTGTGTGCAGGTATTGGTTGACCTTTTTTTTTTTAAGATTTTATTTATTTATTTGACACAGAGAGAGAGAGACAGGAAGGGAGGGAACACAAGCATGGGGAGTGGGAGAGGGAGAAGCCGGCTTCCCGCTGAGCAGGGAGCCCAATGTGGGGCTTGATCCCAGGACCCTGGGATCATGACCTGACTCTAAGGCAGACACTTAAGGACTGAGCCCCCAGGCACTCCATACTTTTTTTTTTAAATATAGTATGTGCTGGGCGCCTAGGTGGCTCAGTAGGTTAAGCATCTGCCTTCGGCCCATATCATGATCCCAGGGATCAAGCCCCAGATTGAGCCCCACATCGGGCTCCCTCTCCCCCTGCTTATGCTCTCTCTCTCAAATGAATAAATAAAATCTTAAAAAAAAAAAGATAAGGCTAAATGAAAGCAATTATTATTTAAAAATAAATAAATAAATAATAAAATTGCATACCTCTTAAAAAAATAAAATAAAATATAGTATGTGCTTAGAATCAAGGGGTTGGAGGGAGCTTGGGTTGCTCAGTCATTAAGCGTCTGCCTTCGGCTCAGGTCATGATCCTAGGGTCCTGGGATCGAGCCCCGCATCAGGTTCCCTGCTCAGCAGGAAGCCTGCTTCTCCCTCTCCCACTCCCCCTGCTTGTGTTCCTGCTCTCGCTGTGTCTCTCTCTGTCAAATAAATAAATTAAATCTCTAAAAAAAAAAAAAAAAAAAAGAATCAAGGGGTTGGATCAGATGACCTTTCAAGGTCCCTTCTAACTCTAACTAAAACTTAATGATTTTATGTCCTAGAGGCATTTGGTGGGGAAAACAGAGGGATGAGTTGCAATGGCAATGAGCCCCAGCTATAAAGCAGATAGAACATGATGAAACATTCTATTCTCAAAACCCCAGACTCCTACAGGAGAGGGGCAACAATCAGGTTGGAGGGTAGGAGATCTGGAGGCTTGTCTTGAGAGCTGCACTTAATAGCACTTTATATAACATTGAGAAAACAAATCGTCTTCATCAAAGATGGAGAAGGGTTGGTGATGGGGATCACAGGTGGACTAGGCACCCCCAAGTCACCACTAGCCCTGCCACCATTAGGAGGCGAGCATCTCGGCAGGCTACAGGATGAGCGGGGAGGATGCCAGTGACCTAAGGAGGGCTTTCCAATAACAGGAACAGAAATGAGGGTTCTAAATATCTTGAATAGTAGGTTTTACAGGTAGAGGGGAAAAAAGACATTTTTGCTGTGCATCTATTATGTTCCAGGCAGTCTGGCAGAACAGTTGAGAATTCAGGTCTGCAATCAGAGCGCCTGAGTTTGAGTCCTGGCTCTACTACCAGCTGTCTGTGTGTGACTGGGCAAACTACTGAACCTGTCTGTGTCTCAATTTTTCACAGTAAAATGAGGGTGGTAATAGTCCCTACCTCCTGAGGGTATGGTGAGAACTGAGTTAATCCACATAAAGTGCTTACGTCATCACATATCCTAGGTGAAAATGAGCAAATACAGGTGAGCAATGATGATGATTAAGGTGCTTACTAGGACCCTGGTGATAGGAACTACTCTTCTCCATCCTCCTCCTCCAGGGAGGATGTGCTGGGGGAGGGGGCAGCTGTCAGTACTCACCTTCGATCTGGTCGGCAGTGAAGTCTATCTGTGGGGAAGGAAACACAAGAATGAGGGCTGAGACTGCCAAAGGCTCCCAGAGGGAAGCAGAAGTGGCTTCCACCACAGTCGGGGACAGGGGGAGGACCTCCCGCAGGCCACCAGTCGGGGGAGGAGACAAAGGGCACCCCAGTCTCCTGACGAATGAACTACAATGAGCTATCAAATAGTACAGCCACCAGAGCCCCCTCAATACCACGTGTGAAGTGATAGCTCAGAATGAGAGGGAAAGAGAGAAAGAAAAATACTCTAGAGAACTCTAGAACCTATGGCGACCCCCTATGGTGATTTCTTCAGGTCAAATATAAATTGCTCAACCTAGCTGGCCATAAACTGCCCTCACTTCTAACCTGACTCCACAGTCCACCCACAGTCAGACTTCCTCTCCCTTTGGGCGTCCACCACTCTTCACCCTCCGCCCCCCTTTCCTCCTTGATGCTGACTCTCCATTCACCTCCTTCAATCCCACCTTCTCTTCCCTCGCCCCATCCCACCCCCTACCCCCCAGCACATGTCCCTCTTGGTCATCAGGACAGCAAGCCTAGCTTAGGGTGAGCCCTCGATGTTTCCCAGCTATCCCACGGCCCTGCCTCTAGATGTGCCCAGGCCTCCCGAAGCCAGGATTCCCCCTGGGCCAGGATTTTTGTTACCGCTCACAGAGATGCCTGGCACGGAGCAGACACTCAAAAAATATTTGTTGAGTGAAGGAATAAATTTTGGATTCGCCCCCACAATGCATAATAATTTAATGCTGAGTACAGAAGAGGCAGGTGGGAGGCTCTGAAAATGAATGACAATGAACAAGCATGAGTCATTATTGTAATTTGGGATTTTGTGTGTTACTTCATCATCCTTGATCTGCCACCATGCTCCCCACCTGATCTCCTCTTCACCAGGGGTGGTAACCACCCCCGGCGCATCTTTTTCACGGAGCACCATTCCTAGTCCTAACTCTGCAGCTTGTGCTGTGCCCCGCAGGTGAACCCCTGTTAATGAGGACCTCTGGGGGTGGCTGGAATGAGCTAAGAGAGCGGAGGAGGGGTTACACCGGGTGGGGAAGGAAACTAGCTGTGACTGGGACCGGGCTTTGCCGCAGGTGGGGTTGGTCAGGAAGGTAAAGATAACCCTGAAAGAGGGTAAAGGATGCTTTGCACAAACTCTCTGAGGGTAAGGTGCAGTTGCCCCAGGAGTAAATGTGTAAGAGAAATGAGTATAAAAACATAAAATCAGAATCTGTGGTCATAATCAAACATACTGGGTTAAGTTTACTTTTGTTTTGTCTTTTTGAGCAGAGTTTTCAAAGCAAAGGAACCAGATAAGTACAATAATAGGGAAATCATATCCTTCCAATCATGAAGGACACCTACTTTTTTTTTTTCACTTTAAAGCAATTTCAACAACCCTCAGGATTGGAAGATCCAGATGTGGGAAAGAGGACTGCATCAAAAACTAAGGATTTACTATATGTTGGCTAACTGAACATAATAAAAAATTAATAAAAATAAATGAATTAAAAAAAGAAAAGAGGACTGCAACCAGGGGAGAGAAAGCGGGGGAGGTGGGTGGATGGAGGGAAGTGATGGGTCAAAGAGAAGGCTCTGATCTGATACCACTAGGCAGCTGTCACCCGGACACCAGGGACCAGGCTACCCACCCCCAGGAGGAGCGCATTGTCGGAATGAAGCAGAAATAAAAGCATCCTGATGGGGCGGGAGAGAGTCAGCTTTTCTTGTGAGGCTCTGCCAGTAGCGGGAGTAACGAATGACCCAGGTACTTTCAAGGTCTTGACACGATCGCCTCCACGTGTACCGTAACAAAGCCCAGGGACACGCAACTGCCTCCGTCTCTTGGCCAAGCCGATTATGCTTGACCCCTGACCCTTGCAGGGATTACCATAGATCAACCCCAGGGTCCTCGGCACAACGGCAGGGTCTCCTGGGCCTGTAGGTGCGGGGGGAGGAATCCTGAGGGCTAGGGAGGATCATCCAAATTGGAGCCTGGAGGTTCAGTTTCCCTACCTTCTTGTCACAGAACCTGGTCCTGAGCTCCTATTTTGATCTGATTCTTCACCACCTCCAGCCCTGCCCTCGTGGCTATTCCCAGGGGCCCACCACTCCCAACCTGTTATTAATAGCTCTTCATACCAGTAGCACTTGACCTCTTAGGTTCTGGTGCCAAGACTTAGAACTGCTTCACTCTCCAGAGGCCTCTGACCCCTCCTTCCCAGCCCCTCCCAGTTCCATTCCTTCAGCAGCTGGGCCAGATAGCTGGGAGGCCTGAAGTGACTGAGTCAGCAGGCAGGGCTGGTGGACCAGCTGCAGGGAGAAGAACCTTCCAGTGTGAGGGGAGCAGGGCGGACAGGGAGGCAACCAGGCCCCACTCCCTCACCAGGTTAGAGGGAAGGTCTCAGCCTGGGATGGGCCTGTCCACTGCATACCCCAGACAGGGGCCCAGGCTGAGGCCACAGAAGGAGGGAACCACTTTGGTAGGGGAGAAGAGAGGGAAACAGCCTCCTCTCACCTTACCTAGAGCCCCTCTGCCCCCAACACGTGCCCACTGAAAGGGTCTTTGAGAACAAAGCCTATTCCAGACCCCCAGCTCCCTCACTGCTTACATCACTTACTCCAAGTTGCACTGGTGGTTATCATGTGTCTTTTCTCCAGAAAGATATCATACTACCTCTGAGGAAAGGGTCAGTCTCCTCTTCACTATGATGGCTCCCACAGTGCCTTAAAATTTAAGGCTGAATGGTTCATTGGTTGTATCTCCCTGCCATTCCCGACTCTGCTGGGTAAATTTGGGATGACAGAGCAGGGTTTCCTCAGAGCAGAAACCTGTTCCTGAGGGGAAAGGCCTACAAGTCCAAATACCCCTCAGCAGCCCCCACACCAGCTCCACCACCCCAGGCGCCAGGATGTGGGGCATGGACCACCACAGCGTTCAGCCCATCCAGCCTCCAGAAAATAGGTCTCTAAGGTCCAGGACAGACAGGATCCTGAATGTCATCCCCACCTCCACCCCAGTGGCTAAGCCTCACTCACCTTTATGCTCTTGGGGTCAAAGGCAGGTTCCTTGGGGGGCTCAGGAGCTGAGGCCAGGGCAGGGGCTGGGGCAGCCTTGGCCGCTTCCTTCTTAGGCTCAGGCTTTTTGGGAGGCATGTTTTCTTGTTGGGATCTCCGGCGGAGATGGAAGCTAGGAAGGAATCAAGAGATGTGGCGCCTGGGAGATGAGACAGGAGACTGGGCCGCCTCCCTCCCCTTTTATCCTGGGCAGGAGCCCCCACAGAGGGGCTGGGTGAGAGCAAGAGCAACTGCTCTGACTATAAAAGGAAGAAACACCAGCAGGGCACAGATGACAACTGTGTATTGTCACCAGGTTTGGGGCGACGAGCCTCCCCTCCCTCCACACCTCACACTCCTCCTGGCCTCCACCTCTGGGACAGGCTGACCCCTTCCTGCCAATGGGTGGAAACCCAGAGGGGCCAGGAAAACAGACCCTCTCAAAAATGCCAGAGTCCAGCCAGAGAGATGAGCTGACTAGAGCAGTTGATAACCCTCACACAAAGCCCAGGGGAGGGTAGGCTTTTTTTAGCCCCTCCCGAGCAGAGACAGCCCACTGCACATTCCTTTTAAGCCTGGCTCCTTTAAGCTGAGAGCCACTCTGGGGCCTCAGCTCTGCCCTGAGGCTCAGCTCTCGGGCCTGGAGCCCTGAAGCAACAGCTGGTCCAGCCAACCCACACTGTCCCCACCCCCTCCCAATTCACAGGGTGAAGCCCTCCATCCTCCAGAGCGGGCATCCCAGGAACTCCACAGACCTCGAATCCCTGGGTTTACCCCCACCACCAGCAACCTCAGTCATTCATTCAACAAGTCCTGAGCGCTGAACTTGTGCCTGGGGGGCTGGGGTGAGAGGCAGGTCGGTGTGGCTAAGAGTCAGTGTGATTGGAGGTCAGAAAACTTGGGTCCCGTTGTCACTATACCTCTAACTCACTCTGTGCCCCAGGACTGTGTGTGTGTGTGTTCGTGTGTGTGTGTATGTGTAATGCTTACTGTGTACCAGGCACTGTTAAGCGCCATCATATAAAATCTCATTACGCCTTCACCACAATCCTATAAAGTAGCTATCATTATTATTCCCATTTTACACTTGGGGCGATTGAAACTAAAAGTGGTCAGGTAACAAGGTCACTCAGCTAATTAGCTATGAGCTGGATCAGAACCCAGGTGTGTCTGATTCTAAAGTTTATGCTCAAATCATGGAGATCATAATCCCATTGATGAGGGGGGCAGTGCATACATAATATGTTTGTGTGTTCATCCGAAAGGTCAGGCCGAATACACACTAATGTGTTAGGAAGAAACACCCCTGGGACCTGGGGGCGGGGAGGAAGGGGGGACGACGGCAATTCATAATTTTGTACTTTTTTCACTTCCTGTATTAAAGGAAATTTTTAATAACGAGCATATACTGTTTTTGTAAAAACCGTTGAAAGTCTATAAAATGTTCAGAAAACAACAAAAAAGCTTACCCACTGCACAGAATTGCTTTGAGCTGAACTTTAAGGCTCTCCAGTTCGAAGGATAAAAGTCCATGCTGAGAGAAGCCGAAGTCACTCTGCCTCTCTAGACCCTCCCTATGAAGGGACCCCCCCTATGAAGGGACCGTCCCTATGAGCGGACCCTCCCTATGAGCGGACCCTCCCTATGAAGGGACCCTCCCTATGAAGGGACCCTCCCTATGAGCGGGCCCTCCCTATGAAGGGACCCTCCCTATGAGCGGACCCTCCCTATGAGCGGACCCTCCCTATGAAGGGACCCTCCCTATGAGCGGACCCTCCCTATGAACGGACCCTCCCTATGAGGCTCCTCCCTATGAAACAAGATGGCTACGCTACACACACCTGTGTGCGATTCCAGGTGCCCGGGGCCCACATCCGCTCCTTCCCCAGGCTCCATTTCCCAGATCTATCCGAGCCAAAAGGGCCCTTAGAGTTGGTCTCATCCTACCTGCTTTCGTAGGCAAGGAACCTAATGCCCAGAGGGACTTTTAAGCGGCCTGGAGACATTCAGCCATTCATAGGCAGAGCTGAGCCAGCTAATTCTGGCTCCCGAGCGGTGTGTGGAGATCTGCTCCCGCCCTGCAGCTCCTACAGCCTCGGTGGGCTCTCACCACTGGTACGCAGAGAGGCCTTCAAAGGAAACTGAGGCAGGAAAAGGAGCCAGGGCTTGCCCAAGGGGATACTAGAGAGAGTAAGACCCAAACCCAGGCCAGTACTGGTCCTGGCTGGGACAGAAGCTGTTGGCCCCTTCACCTCACCCCACCCCTCTTCTGCCTCAGCTTCTCTCTTCTGATTTCATGTCACCTGCTTCCAGGGGCCTCTGTTTGCACCTTTCCGTTTTCCCTATCTTTCCCTTCCCTGACTTCCTCATTCCCCAGGGGTTGGGAGCTCAGGTTGCTGGTGGTGAGGAAGAAGGAAAAAGGAAGCCCAGCCTCTTTCCTCCTGTCCTCCCACTGCATCCCCTTCCCAGACTAGGTGTGCAAAGATACACAAACCGGGGTTTGGTGGAAAGCTGCAAGCCGGAAGCTGGAAGATCCAGACACTAGTCGTGACCTCGGGAGCCACTCCCCCTCTCTGGGCCTCAGCTTGCTTATCTCTAAAATGAGAGATCATCAGGAGCTTTCAAACAGTGTTCAACAAACAGCCAAGGCTCCCTTAACTTGTTTCCGACTGCAAGGGACGTGGAGAGGCCAGGTTGGGAGCTCCTCCTGCCATTTCAATCAGCACCACACCTGGTTTTTCTACACCGGGGTCCCACGATCATTGTCTAAGAAATGATTCCATGGTTTAAGAGTCTAAAAATAACCACTGAATGAGATGCTCTCGCATTTCCCCTTCCAGTTAAGAAACAAGTTATTTTAACCATTCTAGTAAGAAGTTTGATCCTCAAAAGACAGTCAGGAGTTTCCTTTCACTTATCTTTCTCTTTTTTTCCTTTTTCCTTCTTTCTTTGTTTTAATTCTCAGGAGGAGCAAAATATCCAGTCCTCTTGGAAACAGAGCTCTGAGGTTAGAGAGCTGGCTGAGCGTCCGCAGACATGAAAGGGTGTGGGCCTTAGAGACATGAGTATAGGGCCGAATCCTGGATTTGCCATTTCCTAATCTCGGGCCCAGTACCCTAAGGACCTTCAACAGTAAACATTTCCTTCTCAAGTTGTTGTGAGATCTGTATGAAACGACGTAAGCAGAGCACCACAAACCATCCCTGGCACATTAGAAATACTTAGAGCTGTTAATTTAATTCGCTTTCCTAGATGAAGTGAGATGTGTGTTGGGGTTTCTCAGACTTCCTGGGAGGAACTCCAGGAGAGGGGGCCTCCTGGGGAAGGGACAAGTAAGGTGGCAGCAGCTCCTGGGATTGGGAGGTGTGGGTTTAGGAATGAGGAAGAGGTGGAGAGGAATGGCGGAAGGGGGGAGGGCAGCCACTGGGTACCCACAGTGTGATATATTTGTGGCTCCGGAAGCATGTAGCAGGTCCCTGGGGCTGGGCAGCCTGCCTGTCAGCCACACTCACACCAGGAGCCAGCCTGCCTGAAACCTTAGGCCACAAGCACCCCAGTGGGGGAGGAGACACTCCTCAAATCAGTTTCTGATTCTCTTTAAGCAACACCAGCTAAAAGAGTGTCTGGCACTTTAGAAGCAACTAGAGGGGAGTGTGGTTTTCCAGAAAGAGCCATGCCTCAAGAGTCAAGATACCTGCCCCTGGCCTTGCTATTACCACGACTCTCGATGCTCACAGCCCAGAAAAGCCCAGTAGCTGGAGCCAGAGGTTTCACTTTCGCAGCCCTCATTCTGCCTCATGGTCACTGACTTTTACCTTCTTGTCCCTCTAGAGTATCTGGTGCCGGGTCTATGACGTTGTCTTCCCGCTCCAACATACGCTGACCAAGCGGAGCAAAGGAAAAAAAGAGAGAAGGACGGAAGAAGCAGAGTGTGAAGAGGCAAGTAGAGTAGTGGGTACTGGAAGCTTAACCAGCACCTCTGAGGCCTCTAATGGTTCCTGAGCCAGAGTGGCTCCAGCCCACTCAGATGCTCCCACTGGAAGGACTTCAAACTCAGTAGATGGAAAACATAGGACAGAATTTCACACCAACCCATTTACAGCCCATGTCAAATCCGGGGACAGACGCATAAGAGAACTGACATTAGCCCTCATCTGGGCTGGGCTTACGCACGCTCGCTCGCTCTTCTCCCTTCCCCTCTAACCATGCACACCCTGTGTCCTATCCTGAAAGAGATCCATCAGAGTCTCCTGCCTGGGATCAAATGCTGCTGACAGCAGGCCTGGCTCTTAATGCCTTGTCCTTGTCACACTCCCTCCTCTCTTCTGGCCAGTGCCTCATAAGCTAGACATCATGGGGCAACACCCTGGCCAACACGGATCTGTCCCCATAGAGGGCACTGGGTAAATTGGGCTCTGCCTCAAGGCAGGGGGTAAGAGGGCCCACTCAGGAGCCAGACTGCCCAGGTTAGAGTCCTGACTCAATGGGTTAGGCAAGCTAGTTAACTTTTTTTTTTTAAGATTTATTTATTTTAGAGAGAGAAAGCTTGCGGGGGGGGGCGGGTAGAGGGAAAGAATCTCGAGCAGACAACTACCTGCTGAGCTCAGAGCCTCGCTCTCACGACCCTGAGACCATGACCTGAGATGAAATCAAGAGTCAGACACCTAAACGACTGAGCCACCCAGGTGCCCCTCAAGTGAACTTCTTTATGTCTCAGTTTTCTTATCTGTGAAATGGGGCTGCTAATATAACCTCATAGATTGGTCACGAGGATTATGTGATTTGGAGGAGAGAGAAAGTAGGGGCCAGGAGTGCAGTAAAGAGGCTGCTAGAGAGTCGAGGCAACTCTAAATTTCCATTATTCTTGGATCCTGGCTGGTTGGGATAGGGGATCGTTGAGCCCAAGGGTCAAGAAAGAATTCTTGAGACATTTGATGGTGCAAAAAGGTGTTGACTTACTATGGGTGACATGCCTAGGACAGTGTCTAGGACAGAGCAAGTCATCAAAATAGCTGAGCCTGGGTCCTGATTGAAATCGTGTGCCTGCTGCCTCCTCTCCCAAGATCAACAGTGGAAGAATTATACAGAGAAAATACCAAGAAATGAAGAGACCTTTGAGAAACCCCTTGGATG